TCTCGATTCCGTCGCCGCGCTCAAAGCCCGCGATAAAAGCTATGCAATAGCTTAAATAATCGATTAAATTACTAATTTTTAATTGGCACACAACCGGTCCTACTATAGTTAATTTTTTTATATTTCATTGAGAATGTGCTCTTTCGGTGCAAAATCACCGGGTACCTCGCTAAGCTTAGATTAACAATATCATGAATGATAATTCAATGGTAGCTAACGTCTATTATGCCACACCCTGTACCGAGCAGCGCTGGTCTGTTATACCGTTTAGTTATGCCGTTGTAACTATACTTGAGAGCTTAGAACTTATATCTCAAGATGGGTGGCACATTTATGTTGTAGATGTCTATGGGCTCCAGTAACCACTTAACACCAGTTGGGCTGTGATCTCGTCCACCCATCTAAGCAATAAAAAATAATAATAATACCAATCACCGTTCGATTCCGTAATCGAGTAGGGGCTCACGATAATTTTGCAGTCGGTACACGTAATAAGTGAAAATAACAATTGCTTTTTGTATACTCATATTATGTGTTTACTTTGACACAGTTTGCGTTTCGAATTAGCGTTGGGTTTGCGTCACCTAAATTCTGAGACGTTTGCTCAATTCGTACTAGCCGCAATAAACATTGTACGGCTTGCAAAAACATTTTTTTTCTTTTCTTTAAACATCAGTTGTAAATGTTGGTTTCTAACATGTTTATTCACGTAGCGGTATGGACCTGTGAGTACATTAGCTTTTAAAAAGCCATTGCTTTCGAATAAATTAATAAAAATAATAATTTGCAAGCACGCAGGCAATAATTGAGAGCCAATGATTGCCAATAATAATTGGCAACAATTGAGAGCATTAGTGAGTTGGTGTATATTTTTAATCATTTAAAATTACATAGAATGTAAAATTACGTAGAATGTTCCAAAGTTCTATTATTTAGTTATGTAAAATGTGTAATATGATTCATTTCAAACTTGAGGTTTTTTACATCTCGTTAAACATGTATTGTTTTGTAAAATGAATATCAAATTAACAAACAACCAGCTAAACCAATAAACTCATTTTCCGAACTCATACGACTACCATTTTTTTACTACTGATATGAAGCCTGTGAGGTAGGTACAGGTAGATTATACCAACCTGTCTATATCTACCGCGAAGTAGGAACGGATATCGGTTGAAAGCTTCGGCAGGCTTATACTATACGATTACTTATACTATACGACGAAGCATAAGCCTTATGTCTCAACGTGAGTGGCAGCATTGACGTTGAGATGTCTATTGGGTTTGGTAACCACTAAGTACAAAATAAGACTAACTCGTCCAACTAATTAAAAAAAAAAGATGTGTGGTGTCGTGGGACACCGGATAGGAACGGAGTTCCTTATTATAAAAATATTAATTTTAAGTTCTATTCGAGGTATAAATAAAATAATTATTCGGGTATACATTTTTTATTATGATTTTTTTATTGATAAAAAAAAACTACTTTACAAAGCTATCAACTTTATCTTATTCACAATGATTTATAAAAAATTATATATGTAGGCGCACGTCAGGGATGGCTGAGCGGTAGTTTCCGTCATCACTCGTATTTGGTTGAACTCAGTTTATAAAAAGTGAATAAAACCTTTTGAATAATAATTATTGAAACTCAACACACACAACTTTCACAATGACAGGGTAAACCGACAGTTTCGTTCCACATACCGACAGACTGACTGACTGACTGTCAGAGACTCACTGACTGAGACGGACGGACCGTCTGATACGGACTGAATGACTGGCTGACACGGAATGCCACGACTCTGTTCACGTACCGCCATTTTATACTGTGGCGTTACGAGTCTACCCTACATTTTGTGATATTTATCAAAACAACATTTCATCATTTAAAATAATAATCAAAACAACGTCTTAATATTACTAAAAGTCGTTAACCACGACATATAATAATAATATACAAAGAAACAGCTATTTATATGAATAATAATAATAATAATCGTCATCACGTAGACTATACGTTAGACACTATTTAACCATCATACTAAAACTATACATAAATAATAAAAATCTTACGTTACGGATGTTTTTTCCCGGTTAGGGTACCCCTCCGCATCGTCCCATAAGGAAAATCGTTCCAAATATGTAAAAATAATAATAATACATAATATAGTTCTCTTTTTACAAACGGTACAGCTTTAGTTCGACTTTTCATTTACCGCGGCCTAAGCCAAGTAATGTCAACTTGGTTTTATTTCTTCCGCAAACTTACAATGTTGCCGCTGTTAAACTTGCAGTCGAATTAACTCGTGTACACTGAGTTCTCTTGCCGCTTCGTCGAGATGACGACAAGAAAATTATAAATATAACTAGCTGACCCGCAGCTGTATCACGTATTTCGCAGACAATTAGCAGAAGACAAATATTGTGCAAATATTGCTGTCAACTGTCCATTTCGTATTACGGACTTACAACAAAAAAGCAGATCGCGGACCATCACTAGTGCTGCCTCTGCAGAGCGATTTGTGAAACTTTAGTGCATTCTTTTCCATACAACTAACAACAACTGGCCTNGCACAGTAAATCTCTGGAATTCGTTGCCATCAGCGGTCTTCCCCAACAACTGCGACATTGGGTTATTCAAGAAAAGAGCATATTCTTATCTGAAGGGTAGGCAACGCACTGGCGCAAACGCTGGTGACCGTGGGCGGCGGTGAATCACTTACCATCAGGTGACCCGTCTTGCTCGTTTGCCTCTTAGTTGTTATAAAAAAAAAAAAAAAAAGAATAATAATAATAACCGTCATCACGTAGACTATACATAAATAATAAAAATCTTACGTTACGGACGTTTTTTTCCGGTTAGGGTACCCCTCCGCATCGTCCCATAAGGAAAATCGTTCCAAAAATGTAAAAAAAATAATAATAATATAGTTCTCTTTTTACAAACGGTACAGCTTTAGTTCGACTTTTCATTTACCGCGGCCTAAGCCAAGTAATGTCAACTTGGTTTTATTTCTTCCGCAAACTTACAATGTTGCCGCTGTTAAACTTGCAGTCGAATATAGCTCGTGTACACTGAGTTCTCTTGCCGCTTCGTCGAGATGACGACAAGAAAATTATAAATATAACTAGCTGACCCGGCAGACTTCGTAGTGCCTCAATCGATAAATAAAAGACCTAAACTTTTATATAAAATAAACTTAAATCAAACAAAAGGAATTCGTCTTACGGGGGACACATATCAAATGAAAAACAAAATTGTTATTTTTATTTAATTCCGAACATTTTCATTCATTTATCTACCTTTTAAACCTTCTCTGGACTTCCACAAATAATACAAGACCAAAATTAGCCAAATCGGTCGAGCCGTTCTCGATTCGAGTTTTAGCGAGACTAACGAACAGCAATTCATTTTTTTATATATAGATAGATAGATGTAATAAAATTGCATCTCTGCTCTTGTTGTGCGTTCCACGTACTGGCTAGAGTAGAGTAGGATGGCCACTTATCAGATGGACCGACGACCTGGTGTAAATCACTGGGTCCTCGTTGGATGCAGGTGGCAACGGACCGACCGTACTGGAGATCGATTGGAGAGGCCTATATTCAGCAGTGGACAGCAGACTAGCTGAGATGATGATGATGACGGTCTCATCAGCCGGACACGTTGTTAGCTATGATAGTTTACTAGAGGTAGGACCTCTTGTGAGTCCGCACGGGTAGGTACCACCACCCTGCCTATTTCTGCCGTTCTCACCACTTAACACCAGGTGAGCTGTAAGCTCGTCCACCCATCTAAGCAATAAAAAAAAACTTGTCTATAGTGGCAATGTGATATGAATTATATTATGGGAATATAATTATGGAAACTCATTCTGACAGGACATAGGGACTCTAGAATATTATAATATACTAGCCGTACTCGCCCGCTTCGCTGGGCATTTAAAATTAACATTATTATTTATTGTCATTATTATTAGGGAGTCCAACACTCATATAAATATTAGCCTATCCATTAAGTACATATATTTTCTACATGGATACCAAAGTTCAAGTCAATCGGATGCATGGTCCAGTAGTTATAACGGAACATCCGCAAAAACCACTGTAGATTTATATATTAGTATAGATTAAGTACATACAATGTAAATATAAATGTTTTTAATACCTGGGAAGTTTATTGTCGTATATCATAAATGTTTTTTAAATAATCTTTCCTTAAGAATGGTCTCAGAAATGTGTTAAAGTAATAAAAGAGTTGATTTCAACTACAATTTGTAAGTCGGAATCACGAGCCCAACATTGTCATCTACAAAAATCCTCAACGCGAAATGACTTGTTTCCGGTATTTTGGAATTAGAATGGAATTAGGTGGGAGCGATTAAATTCATTAAATATCTATTTTATTATACTAAGTCGCAGTAGTAAGTTGTTCAAGAAAAGATAACACGTGCAGCTTAAAAACTTAAAATAAAACCAACTAATAATTAATTTAATTTTTATTGTAATCTGTTGTGATGCCGGTCAGGATATAAGAGTGAAATTATAAAATTATTTTATCATGTGTCGTGGGACACCGGATAGGAACGAAGTTCCTTATTATAAAAATATTAATTTTAAGCTCTATTCGAGGTATAAAGAAAATAAAACGGGAGGTTTTACAACAACCCACGGTCATTCGGTAACGTGCGAACTTATTGTGGTACACTTCATTCACGGTTGTTTGCATAAGAGTTAGTGTATTGCGCAAACGAACGCTCTTAGATCGTGGTCAATGAATGATAAAAAAATATGTAATTTTTTGTACGTTATTACAAAGTTCAGTCGTACACTGTGTGCATAACTAATAAAAATCTTACGTTACGGACGCTTTTTCCCGGTTAGGGTACCCCTCCGCATTGCATTAGCTATTTTTTGGAACAAAGTTCCTGGGAACCGCACAAGCTAATAAAAGTGTGTTAAAAACAATGTTTGATGAAAACGTTTCGTTCTTTTCAGTTGGGCAGAGCGCACGAGCAAATAATTCAGCCCCTGGAGAAGTTCCGGAAAGAACATATCGGTGCTGTCAAGGTAAAACACGTAAACATTTTGCATTTCATCTTTTTTTTTCAGATGGAATGATTGGATATAAGGACGTGTTTTCAAGTCGGCGACGGTCACTGGCTTCTGCATGAGCCGATTCCATGAGGCGGCTATCATGCCGCGTCGCCTTATCGAAGTAGCCTTCCGGCGCTGGCTTCAACTTTTCCACGTACCACGAATACGGACATTGTAAAGCAGCGTTCTCTAAGTACTAATATATATCAGCGTTTATGGCATTTAATGGTGGTAGATCGTATTGTATGTCCGCGTGGGTAGGCACCACCGTCCTGCCTATTCTTGGCGCGAAGTAGTCACATACCGGCATTTATCGGTGGCATTGGCACTTAATGGTGGTAAAGCGTAATGTAAGTCCGCACCGGTAGGTACCACCGTGCCTTCGGTGGTACCGTAGGTCTGGTGTAGCCGGTGTGGTGGAGCTCGATGGGGCTTAGTCGGTAGTCGTTCTGCGGGGCAAGTGCTTCGCGCGCCTTTTTCAAGGCGTAGTCTCCTGCGAGGAATTCGGGGAGGTGGAGGACCTTGGCCCTCCTCGTCCCCCTCTTCCTCTCAGGAGGCGCCGGAGTCCGACGTAACCCGTTTCGTTGCCCCACCCGGACCGGGTAACCAAAAAAAAAAAGGTACCACCGTCCCGCCTATTCTTGCCCCGAAGTAGTCACGCGATCCATTTCGAAGCCATTACACAATACAATTATACCTCCGAACAATATAATGCAGACATTATTGGGCAGTGTGTACACATTAGCGCGATAACTATGCAGGTCACCTTATGACGCTTCGCTTTTGTTGTCTCAGTGCGATATCGATGACTAACAAACGCGCTTGCAGACCGGTTTTAAATTAATTGAGGGAACAATAAATTATTATATTATTTATTCGGCATTGACTTGTTGGTCCAGTTGTTATTCAACCAGGCTTCTGTACCACGTTGTTCGGGTTTGATTCAGAAATCATTACATAAAGCATTTTTATTGAAATGTTTGTATCGTTTGAAAATGTTTGAATTCACAAATACATAGTTGTTTAAATCAAAGAGCTTAAGTGAAATAAAAACAAATTTAACTGATTGGCCTCGTATAGACGAATGAAAAGAATATTTTCAGATTATTTTTATGCTTCAATTTTGATATTCTAAACTATAATTCTGTACACACGGTTTGAGGAATCATGTGTCATCATAAAATATCTACTGATTTCTCCGTAGGCAGCGGCTTGGCTCTGCCCCTGGTATTGCTGAAGTCCATGGGCGACGGTAACCACTCACCATCAGGTGGGCCGTATGCTCGTCTGCCTATAAGGGCAATAAAAAAAACCTATAAGTACAACTCTGTGACTATATAGTCGATCGAAATTTTATTTATGTTTGTTGTTTAAGATGGACAAGCGTGATCCATAAGTTTCTTTGTCACTGAAGTGTTAAAACTCATCAGTTTTTTCCTCGTCGAAACACACAATTGGGTCACAATACCGGGTCGACCGCTCGATGGACCCAGACAGGGCCGGATTTAAACTTAATGCCGCTCCTGGGTACCGGCAAAAAATCCGCCCCAATACTGGAATTTTACTTGAAACTTTTAGTTTATATATTTTATTTTTCAAAAAAAAATAACTAATTGATTACAGAAACGTTAACATATGTTATATATATTCCAAAAACATAAATAAATATTTGCTTTTTTTTCTAACACTTATAAATTTTGCACTAAGGGTGACTCATAATTATATTTTATCAAAAAAAAAAAAACTAATTAAATTTCTTTAATTCCAGAAAAATCGATTATTATTTGAAATGTTCAAAGAAATAAATTTATTAAATCATTTTGATTTTAAATTTTACCAAAAGTACCAAAATTATAATTCACATATACTTAATGGATGAATGAATTTATTGAATTATCAATTAAACAGAAAATTATTAATTAATGGAATTAAATAATTATATTGAGCAATCTTGATAATACTAAAAAAAAATTTCACTTTCAAAATTTTGCCGCTCTGGGCACTTGCCCCGCCTGTCCCTAGTGTAAATCCACCATTGGACCCAGAGTCCGGCGTCTGCATCCGGGGACAAGATTACTCATCTCGATTTATATTTCATTTTGTGTTTACAGGAAGGAAAAAAGAAATTCGATAAGAAGACTGCGAAGTTCTGTCAAACGCAAGAACGCACGTTGTCGCTGTCTTTGAAGAAACCAGAGACTGTCTTCCAAGAGGTGAGCGTAGAATGTTCGCGATTATCGAAGGCGTCAAGTGAATGAGAATAAACCATAGACTGTGGTTTATATTTGTTTTTTTTTTTTTAATTAATTTATATCAGTTCAGTACTTTAGATAGTTCAGTAGTTATAACGGAACATCCGTAAAAACCACTGTAGATTTATATACGCCGTACATCTATACTTCAATACTAATTATTGAAGTATAGATAGATTATAGAAGTACGGCGTTGTATGCTATTTGTACCGTCTGCATTTTGCATAAGTGTTTATTTTTCAATGAAGCAATGCACCTACCACCCTCCATTGACTGGTAGTGAATACTTTAGGTATTAATACTATATTTATGTGCATGAATTCGTTTTAAGGCTGATGCGGCAATGGACATGGCCGAGCGCGACTTCTGCCAGGCGTCCCTCGAGTACGTGTTCCAGCTGCAAGCCGTCCAGGAGAGGAAGAAGTTCGAGCTGGTGGAGACGCTGCTCGGCTTCGTCTTCGGCTGGTGGACCTTCCACCACACGGCGCACGACGTCCACGCCGACGCCGAGCCCAGGGTGCGCGATCTGCAACTCAGGATACAACGAGTAAGAGAACTACTATATTATCGATAGTATCTACTAGCAGTTTTAAAGTTTTACAGATAAATTCCTGCCCCAATAAATGTCAAATCAATAAACAACAACAACAAATTTTGGTAGGCATCGGCTTGGCTCTGCCCCTGGCATTGCTGACGTCCATGAGCGACGGTGACCACTTACTATCAGGTGGGCCGTATGCTCGTCTGCCTACAAAGGCAATAAAAAAAAAACATAAATTACTTTTTTAATATCTATATCGACGCTTGAAAGGCAAGCGTGACTAAGCGACAATAACTGCGTTATATATAAATGATAATGGCAATAACCATATTCGATCCGCAAAAAATATATATTTCTAGGTCTATTAAAATCATTTCAATCCTACCGCTAGATTCGTTAAAATATTTTTTTTTCAGGTATTTCAACTTTAAATAGTCTACTGTAAAGTTCACGCATTGTCGCTTAGTCACGTTTGCCTTTCAAGCGTCGATATAATATATAAAAATGAATTGCTGTTCGTTGGTCTCGCTAAAACTCGAGAGCGGCTGGACCGATTTGGCTAATTTTGGTCTTGAACTTTTTGTGGAAGTCCAGAGAAGGTTTAAAATGTAGATAAATATAAAAATGCTTGGAATTAAATAAAAATAACAATTTTGTTTTCCCTTTGATGTGTCCCCCGTCGGACGGATTCCTTTTATTTGTTTTAAGTTTATTTTATACTAGCGGCCCGCTCCGGCTCCGCTCGGGTCTTTAACAAAAATTTCAACGATATTTGACGTTGTTTTATTTTTTTTTAAAAAAGAACGCTTATTGCGGCATAACTATAAAAGTTAGACATATGCTGTCCCGACACTTTTTTTAAATAATAACGTATTCAACAAAGTCGTAGTACATTATTTTATTCTATCGTCAATAGTTTTCGCAGGGCACGCGATGTAAAGAATATTTTAGGTAATTTTTTTACACCTCTGATTACATTATTGGAGTTTTACTAATCCCTAATTAAAAAAAAAAAAAAATTATATCCTATGTCACTCGGGAATAGTGTAGCTTCCCAATAGTGAAAGAATTTTTCAAATCGGTTCAGTAGTTTCGGAGCCTATTCAATACAAACACACAAACAAATCTTTCCTCTTTATAATATTAGTATAGATAAAAGTTTAGGTCTTTTATTTATGGATTGAGGAACTACGAAGTCTGCCGGGTCAGCTAGTTACGTATTAAAATATACAGGGCGTATTGTCAGTCTGTACGCATAAATTGTACTACTATCTTGCTTTAATCCCTGCTGTGAAGCTGTCATGCTGACCATGTCGAAGGGTGTCCAGTACAATTGAGAATCGGACCTCGCACGTCAAGTTGCGATGCCTACGGACCCCGGTGTGCTTAGTGAGAGTTTTTTAAAATTTAACTGAATTTTGTATGGTTTTGGCACAGCTTCCCTTCTTTTGCCGCTAGGGGCGCTGTTCAAACTTCATACAGTTTCGAGTTAACTTTTACGCGAGCGAGAAGTTAAAAAAAACTCGCACTTAAGTACACAAGAACTAGACAACTTTCAAATAAGTAGGCAGCGGCTTGGCTCTGCCCCTGGCATTGCTGAAGTCCATGGGCGACGGTAACCACTCACCATCAGGTGGGCCGTATGCTCGTCTGCCTACAAGGGCAATAAAAAAAAAATGTATTAATTAAATTTATCAGGTTTTATATTTTGTATCTATTGTATGAATAACTCAACAGGTGGACTCTAATGATGACCTATAGTAGAATTGTACGTGTTTTTATCATTACGTTCGCGTTGTTTTTTTTTTTTGCGTAACACCGACTGAAGTTGTGTTTTGCGTCACTTTAGTGTGTGCAAGGCTTATGTTCGTGTCGAGAGCAGCGCCCCTGGCGGTGAACATCGCAATTATAGTTGCAATGACGCTACCACCAGGGGCGCTACTGGTTTGATCTGAGACTAAATACTACATTTTTTAATTGATATTATGTGTTCCGTTTGACGTCCGAAGTCCATTATGAGAGAGTACATCGTATGATTTCCACTGCAGGTCGCTAAATTTGACTACTTCCGTTTCCTAAGTCCCATCTACAGCGCCCTCTATAACGTCTGGAACCGAACCAACAAGCAAAGACAAGCCGCCATATTTGTCATTGTTGCGTCGTTTTTTCCCACGTGCAGTCGTTAATATTTTAAGAAGTTAGTAATTTAAAATGTTATAAGCAACTTTCGAGATTTGAAGTAGAAAGTTTGTTTCAAACAAGTGTTATGATTATCTTCCGTTTCGTGAAACCTCCAAGGCTCTACAATGAGTGACGAGGTTATCGCGCCTTTCAAAGTAAAATTTAAGTGAGGATAGTTCTTCGATTTCTTCGGATATTTCTTCGGGTTCGTCGGAAAATAAAGACTAGGGACCAGCAAGAAAACTTCGAAAAAGTGACTGGTCGCGAGATCTGAATAAAA